GTGGGCGGGGGGGGGGGGATTTGAATGTTTGATATTGCGCATAGATGACAGGGAGCCTTGAAAATGCAACGATACGAAAAATAAAAAATGAAAGTAATGTGTGTCGATGGCTAGTATTATCCTATAAAGGCGAGATTAATTATCAATTGCGATAAAAGTAACGTTGCGAGTAAATATAAATAGCTCTTTCATTCGCGTAGGTGGGTAAGTGGGTGGGTAGTTAGTTAGTTGGTGTAGGAGTCGGCTGAATTCGTATTAATGTAAACTACAATGAAATGTCTGATTGAGGTAAGATGACGTCTACCTGGGAATCTAAGGCAGGTAGTGATTCCGGACATGGTGAGCGAGACCAGGTGATTGAGGTCGGCGTACGATGGGCTGCTTAACTCGAGCGTCCTCTGGCAAATGTCGTAAAGCGCGTGATTATCAATGCAGAAGGTCGAATCCGTCATATTGAGAAGCTGCTGGAAGGAGAGCAGGACGTTGTACGGACCAACGACCGTGTCTTGGACCTTGGGCGAGGAGACGACCGAATACGAGTTGATGATCCTATCGGGATACTCGTCGCGAATCTTGGACAATAAGAGGGTACCCATGCCGGAGCCAGTGCCGCCACCTAGCGAGTGCGTAAGCTGAAAGCCTTGGATGCAGTCGCAGCTCTCGGCCTCGCGTCGCACCACGTCCTGCACCTGGTCGACGAGCTCCGCGCCCTCGGTGTAGTAGCCCTTGGCCCAATTGTTACTCGCGCTATTCTGGCTGTAGACAAAGTTGTCGGGACGGAATATCTCGCCGAATGTACTTGCGCGAATAGAGTCGATGGTACCGGGCTCGAGGTCGACAATCACGGTACGCGGTATGTAGCGCTTGAATACCGTCTCGTTAAAGAAAACGTTGATTTTGTCCAGCTGAATATTCTTGGTACCTTGGTAATTACCGGTTGGTTGGATGCCATGCTCTTCAGCTATCACTTCCCAAAACTAAAGTGCAATTTGTTTTCATTCATTTTCACGTTAGTTGGCCGGGTACTTTTTCGATAAGCACTTTTAATAAAGAAAAGCAAACGTATAAATAAATAAATAAATAAATAATTAATTAAACAGAGAATTTTTAAAAATTCAGTTTTTGTCTCAGCCTTTCTCCCTTTGGCTACGAAGTGTCTTAAATATTGGTAGATTTCCAGATCAATATTACATTGTGCATGTGACGTAGGAAATGGAAATTTTTCTTTATATATACATATGTAGTTGATAAATACTAGAGCCGCTCAATCACGACGTTTCATTCAAATTAAATTCATCGTCTTAAAAAAAAATTCACATTATATTAAATAGTTCCGTTAAATACTCCTCTCATTGTTTAACCTGCATAAACATCAAAATCACAACCGAGTTACATTTTTTTATTTTTTTTTTATTTTATTTTTTTTTTTTTTTTTTTTTTTTTTGCAATGTCATTAATAATACGTTTTTATTATGGGCTATCATCTGTCCGCATTGCCTATATATTTAATGCATATTTATGTACAAATATAAATTTTATATAATTTTAAGCGCTCACTTTGGAACCTATTTGATTTCCACATTGTCCTACTTGTAAATTTACTATTTCACGCATTTTTATGTTTCTAAATAATTTTTACTGAAAATTTAAATACTTAAAAATTTATTATGAATTGTCAAAATACAAACTAAAATTTAAAAGGTTAAATTAACAAATGAAAGTTTATATGTAGAATATCATTTTTACATTTAAAATTCAAATCATTTTCATCATTTTAATTCTTTATTATAAAAATCCGTTCATTCGTGTCAAAAAGTTAATTTTAACGTGACTTAAAATTTCATTTTCTTAAAACGTCATATTTAATAACAAATTTTCCAATTTACAATTTAAATTATTATTATTTACTTATAAATAATATTATCGTCATTTTTTCATGCTCGTACCAACATTTAGCTAAGCTTAAGCGATTAGATTTTAAACGCTTATTATTGGTAATATTCCCTATTACGTATTTTTTGGTTTGTGTAAAGTCCATTAAAAATTTCAGGTTCTATTTACATTCTATTGTACTATCGCTATTATTTACATTTAACGTACATTTGTAATCTCGTTAAAATTTAATAAATATTTCACTGTTATTTTAACACGCACAATCAATGTAATATCCCAAAATATTCAACTTTCTTTTTTATTGTCTAATAAAAGTTTCTTTATTTTATAATAATACAATGTTAAATTATTTGTTTGAAATAATATCATGCTATTATTATTTATATTATTTTTTATTAATGAAAAATAGTAGAATTTATTTGCATTATAAGAGCTAATGAGTTTTTTATTTATTTTTTTAACTAATATGCTCACGATTGTTATAAGTAGTTACATATTCAATTTTTTAATTCTCTTTTTCTTAATGACTCTAAATTTTTATTTTATTCTTGATAAAAGTTTTTCTATTTATTAAAATTATATCCATAGGATTCGGAAAGCTCGACAATTTCCGTTGATATCATTTATCAACAGAATTTTAGAAATCCTTGCAGAACTCAATCAATGTTCATTTAATGAATATACAATAAAAACAACTTTTCCATTTTATTTTCATAATGTTCTTCATAATATAGAAAATTACCCCTCCCTCCCCACCTCACCCACCACCCCCTTAGCTCTTTCTCAGCTTCTGTGAATGTCTAACTATTCATACAAAAAGTACACTTTTCACTACAGATATTAAATATAATAAGATTCATTATTATTTAGAATGTTTATACTCTTATTATTACTAATAGGTATCAATTTATTTTAGAAAATATAGATAATCATCAGGGCAAATCTTTTATTTCAAAATATTATGAGATAATATTCATCATAATATTTGTAACAAAAATTTATTAGAAGATATTTTCAACTCACTGAAGATTTCTTTAGAATCATATATATATATATATATATCTATATAAATATTGCATTTTCTTGAGTTAATATTATTTTTCAATTTAAAAAAAGAAATTTCAAATATAATGGACAATGTTAAAGTAGATGATATATATTGAAAATTATTGAATTTAATTAGCTCGTATATTTAATTTTTCGGTTATATAAAATATTGTGAAAATTACTCAATATTAATTTTTTTTTCTCTTAATTTATACGAAATAAATGAATTGAAAAGCATAAATTGTTGCTTAATAGACATAAGAGTTAATAATACATACATAAATATAAATTAATATTAATTTAAAATTTTTATTATCTATATGTTCCTTTTTAATATATTTTTTATTATTATGCACTATTAATGTTTAAATTGTAAAATTTTTAATTGACCTTAGTTGAACTATTTATGTTTAAATTCTAACCAACATATACACGTAAAGGCACGTGAAACTATATTTAACTTAAGGTCAACTTGAAAATGTATGTATCAGATAAATTTATATAATATGGTTGTATATTGATTTTGAAATTAAATAAAAATAGTCCAAGATATAAATTTATTTAAAAAAAAAAAAAAAAAAAACCAATGCTAAGAAAAAAGAGTGTCAATACAAAATTCAATATTAAATGAACCCCCGGATTCAAAAGAGGAAAATAGCATGTAGATTTAAGCAAGTATGGTGTGTGTGTGTGTGTGTGTGTGTGTGTGTGTGTGTGTGTACATGCGCGCACGCGCGAACATTATATACACATATTTGTTTTACTGGATTAAGGCAGTACTAAAAATTATTTTATTTAATTTGTATATATATATATTTTACAAAACGATGTTTTGACTATTATTAAATAAAAAATTAAAATTAGAAAAGTAGCAAGTTAATTATACTAATAAACAAATGTTAATCATTTCTGCACAGTAATTACATACATTGACATATTTTTGTTTTTTCAAAAAAGAATTTTAAACAACGAGGTTGCTGCAGATAAGTTTATATAATATTACTATGAGTTTGAAGAAATGAATTTATTAGTTATTTATGAGAAAACTTTCTCGAAGGAAATATGTTTAATAATATTTAAAATTGTTTTTTATTTCTACGCAACCGTAAGACAGTTGAGCAAATATATGTCGCAGTGATAGAAATATTTTTCAAACAGCATAAAACAATTATAACAAACTTGTCGTGTCCATTTTTTCGAATTTAGTTAGTCAATGGTGTTGCAGTAAATGAAACCGTTGAAAGTGATTATTTGAAGTTTATAATTCCAACTAATGTTACATTAATACGAGCACGGTGTAGTTTATAAAAAAATTCCTTCATTCCGATCATAAAAAACGAATATGTAAATATTAACGTAAAATTTTGCATTACTATGATGAAATAAGCACCCACTGGGCATCTAAAAACAGTAATGCCAAGAGGAAAGAGAGTGTCGAATATTTAATATTGGCCGCCTCTTCTACTCCCCAAACTAATTACAATGTAAAATTATATATGCGTATGTGAATGCATATGTGTGCTTGAGTGCGTGTGCGTATATGCGTTTGTGTTCAATGAATACCGTTAGAAACTTTTTTTACATTCTTATAAATTGAAAATATAAAAACTGCTAAATAATTTACAATATTTCATAAAAATTCATAAATACACTATTTTTAGGCTATATTATCTATTTTATGCAATAATTATATCTGTCAATCAATTAATATCCGCGTTAAAGTTTTTGCGCATGCGCAAGACATTATTCGAAAATATTTCGAAAGGAATTTTTGCAGCATTCGAAATTATATAAACAATTGGTTTTTATAGAGCAAATTCAGAAAAATATAGAGCAATACTGAAGATTAAAGAAACATATGAATTTTAATTAAAACTTTTGATTATTTTGAAATTTTTAATTATTTTGAAAGATAAAATTATACATATTTAGTTGAGTGTTAAAGAAATCATAATCATGTCAATTATATATTGTAAATTTAAAAATTATTCATTTAATTGACTGATATTATGATTTAAAGTATTACTTTTCACTATAATTATTGTCAAATTGTATATTTATTGTGAAGTTCATTAACAATAAAGTATATGTAGTTATTTTGTTTATCGAATGTTCATATATTAATGAAATCATGAAAAAAGAACGAACGGCCGACAATAGTCGGCCATTTAAATTATAAGTATTATTGTTATATATTTAAATAATTATTAGCTTCGATATTGATATAAATTTTTTATATATGATTTTAGCTGTTGAGGTTATATTTTTAATATTCAAATTGAAATTTTTCAAAGAAAATTACAATAAATTATTACTGTTAAAAAAATTTTTTTTTATCGTTGTTTACTTTATTTAATACCAAAGCTTTTTTTAAATTGTAAAAATATTTATGTAATTGTTATTATAATTCTGTACAGCGCATCAAGTTGTTAGCCTAACCGGCATAAGTTTCCAGAGAAAAAGTATTATTGTAAGTTTTAAAGTTTATTGAATGTTATATGTTTATGTGTTTAATTGATATTAATTATGCTCTTAACATTCAAGGGTATGGTTGAATTGACAATTGTACCATTGAGAGATACACTTAGATTAATTCATCTTAATGCAAAGCAATGTAGAATATATAAAGTTTGTTTAAACGAATCGTACGAAGCGCCCTTTCAATATTTTGATCCATTTTTGGATATTTCACAGGGAGACGATAGACAGTAATTTTTAAATAAATAATTTTTTTAGTAATACTTATACATTATTTTGTGTTATAATAACTTTTATTATTATTTTTAGGCGATCTTTAGAATTTTTTTCTAATTTGCACTTGGCTGCAGCTCAAAAAGTTGATCCAGATAATAATGCTGGTGAATTACTTGTACAAATACCTCCAGATGCAGCTCATTTAGTAGAAGAAGGTAAAAATCTTAGGGTAGGAATAGAATTTTCTTTAGAGCAACCACAAGGAGGAGTTCATTTTGTTGTTCCAAACTGTCCTGGAACATTGGCCGAGGTAAATATTTATAATACAATATATATTTTATGTAAGATATAATTAATTCTTAGTAATATTTTACCTTTTGCATTAAAAGTTTTTTAAGGATTTTAGTTTTAAACTATAATATTTTCAGAGAGGAGCTCATATGTATACCTACAGCTATGAAAATTCATCAAGACTGTGGTTTCCTTGTGTAGACAGTTTTGCCGAGCCATGCACTTGGAAACTTGAATTTACAGTTGATGATGCAATGACTGCAGTGTCGTGTGGTGATTTAGTCGAAGTAGTATATACTCCAGATATGAGAAAAAAAACTTTTCATTATGTGCTAAATTTACCCGCTTGTGCTCCAAATATTGCTCTTGCCGTTGGGTAATTCTATAAATATAAGTGTGATGATATATATTTTTTTTGTTAGATTAATTATGAATCAGTCTGTCAAACAGTCTGTGCATATATAACATTAATATCATTAATTTAATATTGGCTTTTTTATTTTTAAAAAATTATTCAGTAATATTTTATTCATTATTATACATTTTTTCAGACCATTTGAGATTTTTGTAGATCCTTATATGCATGAGGTAACACATTTTTGTTTACCTCAACTTTTACCTTCGTTAAAAGTTTCAGCTAAATATATGCATGAAGCCTTTGAATTTTACGAAGAGACTTTATCAAATAGATATCCATACTCGTGTTATAAACAAGTTTTTGTAGATGAAATTGATGAAGATATTAATGCATATGCAACAATGAGTATATTGAAGTATGTTCTTTCCATGTTTTTTCATATTTAATTTGTTTCTTAAATACATGATTAAAAATATTCGTAGTACAAATTTATTACACTCAACTGCTATCATTGATCAAGTATATATTACTAAAAAAGCAATGGCACAGGCTGTAGCGGAACAATTTTTTGGATGCTTCATATCGATGCAAAATTGGTCAGATACATGGTTACCAAAAGGAATTTCTACCTATCTTACAGGATTATATGCAAAAAAGTGTTTTGGAAATAATGAATATCGCGAATGGATTCAATCGGTATTTATGTTACTATAATATGTACAATAATCAATGTACAATTAACGATATAAATTACAATGATGTAATTTAATAATATTTAGTTAAATAATTGTGTTTAATAACATATTTAAGGTAGAAAATTATTAGAAACTAAGCATTGTTTAAACTAAACATTATTTCCTAGGAATTGCGGGAAGTTGTGAAATATGAGGAACGCTTTGGTGGAATAATACTCGATCCTTCGCAACCACCTGCTCCGTTACCAGTAACTGCAAATACACCGGCTCCAACGCCTCGAATACCGGATCCTGGCTTTTATTTTCCAATAAGAAATTTACATACAATGTCCCCTAGATATATTGAAGTTCTTCGTAAAAAGGCACATTTAGTCATAAGGATGCTGGAGCATAGAATTGGACAAGAACTTCTATTGCAAGTAAATATATTTTTTTTATATATAAATTTCATTTTCTTGAATTACATGTTACACGTGATTTATTTACGTCATTTTGTTAAGGTATTTAATAAACAGCTATCGTTGGCTACTAATGCTGCACAACAAAAAATCGATTCTGGATTATGGTCTCACATGTTAATTAGTACTAATGTATTTACAAAAGCAATTTTTACTGTTACTGGTAAGGATATGGCAGTGTTCATAGATCAATGGGTTAGGACTGGAGGTCATGCTAAATTTACTTTAAGTTTTGTATTTAATAGAAAAAGGTTTATAATATTATTTTAATCATCTATTTCTTAATTTTTTTTTTTTTTTTTTTTCCGTATATACCTTAACAACTACATAATGTTTGCTTGATAAATAGAAATACGGTTGAACTTGAAATTCGACAAGATATTACACATCAAAAAGGAATAAGAAAATATGTCGGTCCTTTATTGGTAAATATTCAAGAACTTGATGGGACTTTCAAACATACGTTACAAATCGAAGGTACTGTGGCAAAAGCAGATATAACCTGTCACAGTAAAAGTCGCAGAAATAAGAAGAAAAAGATTCCTTTGTGTACAGGAGAAGAAGTAGACATGGATCTTTCAGCAATGGAGTTAGTATTTACATAACGACAATTATAATAAAAATAAAAATTTTGTTTCGAGAATGATTTGTGTAATGGAAAAACTATAATTTCCAGCGATTCTCCAGTTTTATGGATTCGTTTAGATCCTGACATGACATTGATGAGAGCTGTACAAATTGAACAGCCAGATTATCAATGGCAATATCAATTAAGGCACGAAAGAGACGTTACTGCTCAATTAGAAGCTATCGAAGCTCTACAAAATCATTCAACTCCAGCTACTAGATTGGCTCTTACAGACACAATTGAAAACGAACATTGTTATTATAAAGTTCGACTTCGAGCTGCTCATTGTTTAACAAAGGTAAACATTTTTATTTGAATTTTTATTAACCTATAGCGTAATTTATTTTAATTATAAATAATTGTGTTAATAGGTTGCTAATGCAATGGTAGCAACATGGGCTGGACCACCTGCTATGCTGGCCATATTTAGAAAATTATTTGGTTCAGCGTCCTGTAGAAGAATTATTAAACAAAATAATTTTACCAATTTTCAACATTACTTCCTTCAAAAAGTAAGAATTTTATATTTTCTTTTAACATAAAAGAACTTTATCGATAATGTTTATATTAATATATAAGATGGTAATTGTATATTATTGTTAAGTATTTTTAAATAGTTAAAATAATGAATATAATATGTTTAGACTATTCCAGTAGCAATGGCTGGTTTACGAAATGCACATGGAATTTGCCCCCCGGAAGTACTTTCTTTTCTTATGGATTTATTTAAATACAATGATAATAGTAAAAATAGATATTCCGACAATTATTATAGAGCTGCTCTTATCGAAGCACTTGGAGCTACTGTAACACCTGTTATCAGTATTCAACTAGGGTAGTATTATTATAGACACATATTATTTTTATTTTGTTTTCCTAACAAATTAGATCTCATATATAATAATTCATAAAAATATATTTTAGAACTGCTATAACCGCTGAATCCTTATCAATAGATACAAAGGCTATTTTGGAAGAAGTAACAAGGCATTTAAATTTAGAAAAATTGCTACCTTGTTACAAATATACAGTCTCGGTTGTTTGCTTAAAAGTTATTCGAACTTTACAAAAATTCGGACATCTTCCTAGTAATCCTCTTCTATTCAGAGAATATGCATCGTATGGCCAATTCATAGGTAATATTTTAAAAATGATATTTATAATGGTAAGCCTTGACCGTTTATTAATAGTTTATAAATTATATTTAGATGTAAGAATAGCTGCACTTACAGCTTTAGTCGATTTTACAAAAGTCGATGGTAAATGGGAAGATTTAGAATTTTTATTAGACATGGCTGAAAATGATCCACATCCTGGAGTACGTCACAGATTAGTTAGACTAATGGTAGAAAATCCTCCATTTGAGCGGGCTCATAAACATAGATTGGACAAGCCAGAACTAGTTAATCGCATATGGAATCTTATAAAGTACATTTTATGATAATTAATAAATAATTATTATTTGATGCTCAAACATACGTCACATACTGATTATTATTGATATTTTGTAGCTGCATGCTTTCTCACGATCCAAAACTTCGCTGTGACCTAGTTGATTTATATTATACTTTATATGGGACGAAGATGCCACTCTGCATTCCTATTCCAGAGTTAGCGATGTTAACAAAACCAAAAAAAGTTGTACCATTACCCTGTTCCAATAATGATGTTAGTAATTAATTTTTAATCTGTAAACATTAATTTTACATAGATAAATTTTTCATTTTAGGAATTGTTAATACCTATGTCGCACATTAAAAGCGAACCTATTAATGAGCCGGATATAAATAATGTTTCTGTAAATAAAAGAAAGGCATCTCCAATTAAAGAAGAGTCCGGAATCTCAAATGTACCTGAACATGGAGCAGAAGTAAAACGTCAAAAGCAACATCATGTAAATATTTCTACTGCTTATATATTTAAAAACTTTACTCGCACATAAGCCTTATATTGTATAAATACTTCCGCTCAATAGGATGATCAGCGTACAAATTGTAACATAGACGGTAAAACAAAATCTGAATATTATAGCGATAATTCGGCATCTCTACCTGGTATTTTGGGCACTGGTGGCCCTGTTGGTTTTGAACCCGGAATGTTTAAGAAAGAACCAGACGATGCAAAGACGAAAGGAGATGCGACAAACAAAGTATTATAATAATTTTTTTACCATCTACTTTTATTACTTTGATTACTTACCGTTTCAAAAGACCTTTAAAAATCGAAAATTTTAAGATTTACTTATTATTTCTTGTATTTTAATAGCCTAAGCTAATTAATATTTCTTGCACAGCCTAAAAAGAAGAAAAAAGATAAAAAGAAACACAAACATAAACATAAACATAAGCACGATCATAAGCATGGCAAGGATAAAGATAAAAAAGATAAAGATAAAGGAAAAGATAAGGACAAAGAGAAGGATAAGGATAAAGACAAGGAGACGAAAGATAAAGAGAAAGATAAGGATAGAAATAATAAGGAAAAGGATCAATCAGGACTTTTGAAAGTGAAGGAAGAAACATTGAGTTCAGCTAGTTCGAGTCCTAGTCCAGATGCATCAACAGTAATGAGTGAATTTAATTTTCCATAAATTAATAGTGCAATTTTTTTATTCAGATTGTAATCTAGTAATACATATGTACATTTGATAATATTTATAAAATATTTTATATTACTTTTGTAAATAAATTTGTATACGATCCAATGATTTTCAATTTTAAGAGTAAACTTCTTGATAATTATAATTGAAGCTTTGAGTTTTTTACATAATTGTTAATTCATTAAATTAGCAATGTATCACCCTGCATTAACCTCACGATTTCATTGAATTTATAATTGATTTGAAGCGACTCACTTTTAACTTAATGATTATAAGCGAATGAATTTTAAGAATAATATTAAATATATATGTGCTTTGTAATTAAAAAGCAAAAATTCAAATAATTCAAGCAAAGAGAGCAAATGACACTAATGACTTGAATTAATTTTCATTACTTTGGAAATATCATTCACAGCACTGCATAATTAGTATCGAATAGAGTAATTAAATAATTAATAAGCGGACTAATAAACTAAGCCTATGCATAAGAATAGCAATTGCTTACATATATATATTTTAATATAAAATTTTGTAACTCTAATTGCATTAACGTCGATCAAGAAATACATTGTTCTATGTATTGAAATCAAATCTTTCATTACTTAATAAAATGTTAAATACAATATTATGTTAAAGAAAATTTAAGACACGATAAAAATATAAAACATGCCATTTTATTATTTTCTTTTCCTTCTGTCTTTTATAATCTCCAACTCGAAGGTGCTTTGCCTAATATATTATGGAAATAATTTTTAATTATCATACAACACAGTATACAAATTGGCATATTATGCAATTGAAGCTTTGTTCATTTGAAGCATATGCCAAGTATCTCTCGCAAGAACAAATGCTTTAATAAAAAAGAAAAAAAAGTATGAAATCGATTATTATCGCTTTTTTCTTTTTCTTTTATACAATTCGTTAGTCTGTTCAAACATAAAAATTCGTACTTTGGGACAGATATGTGGATATGTCCTGTTTTTCGATTGGCCGTAACGAAATAACGTTGCTTGTTGCTTGCCCATCAATCTTCAATCTCATTTCCCGATTCCCGATTGTAAACAACGAGCAACGTTCCAAAATGATTAATCCCTTCCGTCTAATCAAAGAATTTCATCATTAATCGATATAAATAACTTATGAAAAAAAAAAAAAAAAAAAAAAAAAAAAAAAAGAAAAAAAAAAGAACAATACAATAAATTATAAATGATAAAACAAACGGGTAGGTAGGTATTAATTGTAAAATAGTGAGGATCCACTTTAAAATGGCTTCTATAGGGGCATATGATAATTAGTGGTGTTTCGATGATGCTTCGAAAGAATCCGTGACCGAATCCGTGAACCTTCGGCATTTTAAAATTTTCAAAAAGTGTAGCGAGCAAGAGAACTAACTGGCCCGTGTATGACGACGATGACGATATGCGGTGAGGTGATGAGGTGATGAGGCGGTGAGGCGGTGAGGTGGTGAGGTGATGAGGCGGTGAGGCGGTGAGGTGATGAGGCGGTGAGGTGGTGAGGTGGTGTGGTGGTGAAGCGGTGAAGCGGTGAGGCGGTGTGGCGATGTGGTGGTGAGGCGGTGAGGTGGGTGAGTGGATGAGTGGATGAGTGGATGAGTGGCAAGACATTAGAGCGGACGGTAAATCGGCCCGCGAGTAAGCGTCAATGCGGAATTGCATAAACGATTGTCGAGTTCGGTAATCGAGAGTCTGCGTGCTGCTGTTAATTGACGTAAAGTGACGGCGGGAGGCGTCGTACCAAGTTGTCGGGGTGTTTGGAGTGGCGCAGGGGTCGCCGGCAGCGATGGCGTATTGGCGTTCGCGAGCTGTTGCGGCAATTTCGAAGGAGGCGGCCGTGAGCTGCTGAGTTTGTGGTTAGAAAGAGCGAGGCGTTTTGAAAATTTTAACGACTGCCCGAGGATGGCGGACAACCAGCAGAGCAGATACGAGAAGTCCCTTGGATTGCTGACCACGCGTTTTGTCACCCTCCTGCAGAAGGCCAAGGATGGCGTGCTTGATTTGAAAGTGGTAAGGCGGCATCCCCGGACTAGCTCTGGCCTTCGCCTGTGTTTAACCTCGAGAGGAGCTTCTTCGACTTAGGTTAAGTTGGCCCTGGATTACGCGGATCTGCTTAACGCCATATTATTGTGGCTTGCGGGAATTTTGAAAAAAGATTTCCCGGCCGTAGCCCGCATTAACTAATAATCTTATTAGTTAAAAGATTGCATTTAGGTGCGATGTCCCACGCGCATCGCTTTGAATTATTTCGTTTTACTCCGTAATCGAGAGTGGCCTAACCAACGATATTTCACTTTATTAACTAATATATTCTTACATAACCTTGATTAGGTCAACAACAAGTCAATTTGGCATTGTAATTTTATCATTGTCTTTTTTTTTTTTTTTTTTTTTTTTTTTTTTTTTTTACAATATCATTTGTTACGATTAATAAGAGAAAAAAAAAAAGATGTTTGTTGTTATTATGATTGCTTATTAATATTTAAGGCTGCCGATCTGTTGGAAGTACGACAAAAGAGAAGAATATACGATATCACAAATGTACTCGAAGGTATTGGTCTAATTGAAAAGAAGAGTAAAAATAGTATTCAATGGAAGTATGTTTTATTTTCTTTATATAAATGCTTTCGCGATGAAATTCAAATTTATAAATAATATTCCCATTGCAGAGGAGCAGGACCCGGATGTAATTCACAAGAGGTTGGCGAAAAGCTTTCCGATTTGAAAGAGGAACTGAGGCAATTGGAAGAGCACGAACAGATGCTGGATCTGCATACGCAATGGGTCAAACAGAGTATAAAAAATGTCGAATGCGATTCGCATAACACACGATATGCTTACATAAAATACGAAGACCTTAAGGATATTTTTAAAGATGAATTTATATTAGCCGTTCAAGCACCAACAGATACACAATTAAATGTGCCAAAAATTGAAAAAGTAACAGCGATTGAATTTCATTTGGTAATAACTTTGATGCAACATATAAGTTTTAATACTATTCACATTTTCGCTTGTAGATGGCAGAAAGTAGTATTAATAAGGAAATAAATTATGAAATGCATTTAAAAAGCACAACGGGAGAAATTTCTATATACATTATTCAACCAGAACTGGCTGAATCTTATGACAATAACTGTTTAAAGCTTAGATTACAACCAGAACCAAAAAAAATTAAAAAAGACAAAGATATAGAGGAGAAGAAGGAAGAAATTAAACCAAAGAAGAAAGTTGGAAGGTATTAATTTTTTCATAAATTTTTAACTTTGCATTATGCTCTCCTCGCACTGAAAATAGTTAGTCCATATTTTCAATCTGCACAGAGCAAACAGGAATAGAATCTTATTTGGGGATTAGCAATTTTAAAGAATAAATTGCTAATTTGGAATCGATTGAACATTTATTTATATAATTATATACAGAGATTTTTTAATTATAATAATCAAATTTATCGAATTTTATTATTTAACTTTTTATAATATTATTTTAGACCACCAAAAAATGTTAGCAAAACTGTTTCTGTATTATCAGAAGACGAAGAAGAAGAAGATCAAGATTTATTAGAAGCTAAGATAGTTCTTCGAGATGTCGATATGACAGGTCAGTTAAACACTCGTTTATTAAATTGTCGATAATTTTCATAATCTTTAACCAAATTTAGTAATCAATTCATTATATATATATATATATATATTTTTTTGTTTTTTTTTTCTATTATTAGGCTATACACTTCATAATCTAGATTTTATTGATGAAATTTATGCTGGAAGTAAGTTGTTCATTATATTTGTAATCTCACGAATTTGTATTTGTCTACTAGGATATTATCTATAATTAATTTAAAAATTTTCAGTTTGTGGTCCATTAGTAAGGCTTAGTCCTCCACCCGAAGAGAAAGATTATCAATTTAATCTTAGTGACAGTGAAGGTCTGTGCGATCTTTTTGATATTGTGGCACAATGAGTCCAAGTTATTTTACTTTTTTTTTTTTAATGATTCGACATGTACATGCGACTTATGTCAGTTAAATTCGTGATGAATTTGAGTCTTGTTATTGTTAATCAAGGCTGATGTATATAATTTTAATGAATGAATGATTGTGGCTAATGTCGGTGTCTATACGGTAATTTTGATATTGGTTTAAGAAGAACTATGATTTCCATAGACATTACTCGTTCAATTGATATCTTTTTGAATTCATTTAAATCAATGATCAAGTTATTGTTTATTATGGACAATAATGATGTGTCTATTAAATTGGCGCTCTTATAATAACGACGCAGTATTTACTATTTAACATTTTTATTTAGCCTTGTACATATAGTAAATGTTAGCAAGCGTTATATTATAAATAAAAGTGAACAATGAGCATACGACGCTTTATGCCATTGAATATTAATTTGGAATACATATTTTTGAAATTTCAAGTGATACAGTTGTCAAAATAAGTTTGAATAAACAAGCTAAATATCACTGCATGAAATAACGCCTGTAATGAAAATTTTAACAGGTATTGTTACAAGTATTTGTGAATATTTTTCTCAAGCATTATTAATTTTATGTAAATCTTAAGAACTCCATGCACCTAATATATTTTCGTTGAAACAACAGATAAAAGAATAAAAAGTTTCGTACATATATTTATTTTAATTATTTAACCATTGTAAAAAAAAATTTTTTAATTTGTTTAAAATTGTATCCTTATAATTTTTTAACAAATTATTATTATTATTATATTGTCCTTATTATGTTTGGGTGTACAAAAAATATAATAATAACAATCAAAATTTTTCATCTAATTAAACAAAACATTACCATTGCAAAAATGACGGTATAATCATATAATTTTTTATTAAAAAATAATTACTCTAATTTGCGAAAATTTATTAGTTTTGTCGTAGACTTAGTACTCAGTCATATTTTCTATTTTAAATCATATTGTAATAATTTATATTTATTTTGTAATATTAATATAGTTGTGCATGTGCTGTAATTTTGCAAACCATTTATTAAAATTATGAAAAATTAATTTACATAATACTTCATACAATATTTTGTATTATATAAATATAAATGTACCATAAATAAACAAAATTTATTATTATTGTTTTTTTTTTTTTTTTTTTTTTTTTTTTTCTTAATATTTCTTAATAAATAAAGTTTGAAGTTGAATTAAATTTTGGAATGAAAGCTACAAAATACTACCCTTCGCAAGCATTTTAAACGCTTTATATTTGATCTGATTATCAAATACTTTTTATAGTAAAATCTTAATTTATAATATACAATAAATAATAAATAGTGTGAGCAATATAAGAAATTGAAGAAAAAAATAAAACTTATTTAATTAATCATATAATAATAGAAGCATTTAATATCAAGTCATGTAGCGTGTCATTACATGCATATAAACGCATAAGAACAACTTGTTTTGCTTGATAATTATAAAAGAATTGATTATTAGTTTTTACTTAATGCATATCAAAATCTATAGCATTCACTTGAAATTTTATATTATCTAAATGCTTAAGATGTAAAATTATCAAGTACATAAAGAATATTATTAAATGGCATCTAAATAGTCAAATTCAGTTGCCAAGCAAATTTCAAACCATGAGCTTATTTATTTATGTTTGACAGATGATACAACTTACTACTAATAATCACCTTTTCTTAAAATTTGTAATTCAGATTATATATATATATATTATTTTTTTTTTTTGTTTTTTTTTTGTTTTTATTCCTTTTTAACTTTATAAACAATTACTTTTATATGTAAATTTGAATAAAAATTGTTTATATATGAATATAAATTCGCAAATAAGACGTGTAAAACAGATGTGTATTAAATTTTTTAATAGCAGCATGGAATTTAATTTTGTAGTTATTAGTTGCGAAGCATTAAACAATCCTCAATTCTAATTGTTTATATGTAAAATACGTAATAATGAAATGAAGTTAATGTTTACAATAATTAGATATCAGTATTAGAATATAGATTTTTCTTTACATTCGTAAATATTCCGTTGTTGAGATATCAATTGCACATGATTTTTTAAAATAAATTCTATAACAGATGTAGCTTATGTATATATTTAACGTGTGCAGAATATATAAAATAGAAAATGCAAAATAAATGACGTTTATTTTATAAGAAAAAAATTAGTAATGTAGTTTTTATTTCTAGTCGAAAGAATTGGAAATATTTTATTGGGTTTCTTTAAAATACAGAGTCCGAGGATTCGCTTAGAAGCTTCACAATACTAAAACATGATTAATAATATATTCAGTTTCTTTTTTTTTAACGTAACTTCTACTAAGTATCTTAAAAACGATGATGCTAGTCTAGAAATTGACCAGTTACAAATGAACAAAATCGATTATTCACTAATCATTGTTTAAAAGTAACATTAATTTTTTAAATAATAATCTTGCAAACTTAGAGATATATATTAAAGAATAAATATATCAAAGATGTATATCTAGTATATCAAAGATATAAAAGTTATATAATTTTAGGAAAATAGACCAACAGTAATTAATATAAATAAGCCTTTGATTTTCTTTTGTTTAAGAATTTAACTCAATAATATTAATTACGTTTCTTTTTATAAATGAATTTTATTGTTAATTGTCAATTATTACTTACAGCTATTTCATTTATTTAACAATGTTATATTTATCAGTAAAAAAATATAGTTTAGAATATTTTTGACAAAATTAACAAATATGAAAACGTAAATTTCTTGCATGTATATTTTCAATTAAAAACTTATTCTTCACTTAAAATTTTAAACAATTTATCAAAAGTATGTATAAATTAAGGCTGAAAAATTAATTCGACGTCATTCGCGATGTTATTTTTTATAAAATATTCTCTAGCAGTTCAAAATCAAACGTGTTTATTAATGAATAAACATTCAATTTTTGCATCGTTAATTATGTCGTATATTATGTCTTTATTACCTAATGTATTTTTAAATTTCTTCCTTTTTTTAAAATTTGTTGTATTTTCTCTCATAAATATATAATTTTAAAATTATTTTATTATGTGATTATAAGTTTAAGAAAATCACTCATTAAACTATTTAAAACGCAAATTATTAACAAAATAAAAATCATACTATGTAACGTATAATGCATACAATTAATTTATTTTTCTTATTAATATATATGCATGCACACGGTATACGTGCGCGCACACAGTCACACATAGCATCCGCATAAATGTATAATTATAATAAACTTCATATTATAAAAATGTTATATTTCTCGTTTGTTTTTATTTAATTTAATAAGATCATTTTTTTAGTAATGAAATATGCTAAAATAATAAATAATTATGTATATAAAATTGCGTAGGATTTCTTAATTTATGTAATTAATCAATATTGTAAGTAATATCAGTAATAATATTTCTAGTCTTCATTTATTTTACACGCATCAATGATTATTATTATTATTACATTACTAATAATTATAGATAATAATTATTACATTACTATATTGTTTTCTAACTACAAATATATGCTTGTATTGCCCTAATAAATAGTATCATTAAATTATTTACATTGAAGAACTGATTTTGAATGTAATTGCATTCGATGCATTTGCATTTATTTATATAAATGTCAAAAATCAACATTTTCATGACTACTTGAATTTTAAAAAGTTAATTCTTAATATACGGATCACAAAAAGATTAAAAAAATGCTTATACTTCATTAAATTGTTAATATATTATGACAATAAACTAGTTCAATTCTAATTAATAGTAGTAATATAATTTGCAATCCTAAAGCAAAAAAGCCAAAAAATAATTTAAATATTTATAGAATAATAATCAAGCAAATCATAATTAACTCACTATTGCCACAATATATGTGGAAAGTAAATTATATACTTATCACTGTCTATCAACATCAAATTTTTATATTATTTTTCAATGAGTTTCTCAACTTCATTAAATACAATTATGAATTAATGTCATTTGAGATGCGAAGGTACAAATTTATCATTAGGTTTGCAAAAGATAAAAATATTATTGTTATAACTAAAATATTTTCATTATTTAATCAAGACACAATAATATTAAGTATAAATGTATACGATGAAGTAATAATATTGCAGTATAAAACATAATAATTTTAATTTTAAATATAACTTGTAGAATTTGTAATTACTAACACATATATAAATATAAATAACATCTTACCATATTTAAGTATCGAAACAGTTTTAAAAAGAAAAACATGATGTATTTGATTAATAATGACTAATAAAAAATTATTTATGTCACTTTTAACAAAGTTAAAAAAGGTTAACAATGTTATGATTAAAATTAATTTTCTATTAATATTTGCATTTGAAATGTCTATCAACAGAATTGCATGTACAATATAGCAAAATCTTTTAATAATATATCCTTAAGAAGCTAGGAAATTGTCATTTTTGTTGTTTGTTTTCATGTAAACAATTACGATTTCTGCTTATACAGGAATTCTTTGGTCAAAGATTATCAAAAGGCATAAGAACTGAAGCAGACAACTTTAATGACCGTTCAATACAAATGTTTTTTTTTTTTTTTTTTTTTTTTTTTTTTTTAAAATTGCTGGTTTTGAATTATAAAGCAAATTCAAACTCTTTCAAATTACTCTTAAGATTTCAATATTTTATGATCAAAATTTTTTCTTTTTCGTAAATTTATATAGAGAACTTTGCGGATCTACTACATTCTTACTCAATCAAATGAAAACTTTTTACTTTAGCTTTCAAAATATTCATAATTTAATAATAGAAGAAATTAACATAAATAAAGTTGCTTATGTGTCAGATTATTTACTCAAGAGAACAGCCTTCTTTTTCTGAACAAAACAAATTGTTCTACTTTAGACATATACTTTATTGGATAATTTTAGTGCCTTTATAAATACAGACACTACAAAAGTTAATAATAATAATTATAAAATATATGTTTATAAATTTTATAATAATAATTTTAATTTTAGTATTTTTAGTATATTATTATTATATTATTAGTATATTATTAGTATAGAAAGTCAAAAAGTCAAGAATTTTGAGATGATAATTTGATAATGTTTTTTATATCAATATTATCGACGAAAATTATTTGTAATCCCCTTCTAATAAAGCATATTATTAATAAAGCGCTTATATAAAATTTTTATAATTGAGTCGCAGTCATTACGTGTATACTTTTTATGTGACAATTTTAAACTAACATATTTCTTGATTTTCTTAACGGAACGAATAATTAATTAAATCGATGCATTACCAACGGCATTCGAACAATCGGTATTTTACTTTATTTAAAAACATATTCATTGGAATTCTATTTATTACCTAATGAATAATATATATTATAATTGAAGTTGTATGTTTTTTTGTTTGTTGTTTTTTTTTTTTTTTTTTTTTTCATAATTCCAAGATTTCTCCGGGGTCTACGATTACTATTGTATGAGAATATTTATAATTCATTTTTCAGTTAAAAGTTCGTAATTTGACAAACGAATGATTATTTTCGAGTATATTACTAATGTATTTTGTATTAAGTATTTGGCTTGGGATGTTCGTGTATTAAGTAAGCAAGTGTCCATTCGATTGGTTTTAAATAAAATGAGAATTGAAGTGATGCGATTGCGTCAGTCATAAGTTCTATGAATAAACGACGTACGTGTAAAATAATCTATTTGGAAAAAATAGAAAAGCCTAAGACCGCGGATGAAAGGTTATATTCTGCATTGGGGTGCACATGCGTGTGCGACTGCATTATGCAATATAATCTTATGTATGCGTTGACAACATCGAATTGACTGGCAATACGATGAGCTCCAAGGTTAGAGTAGAATGGCTCAACTCGGTGCTCGAAAAGCGTCTGCAGCGTCGATAGAAGACTCTCTCGTCACGTGCCAATCGTGAAATATTTCTTCCTATCTCGCTTGATCGTGGCGGCAAATTATATTTATCAATAATGCAAGAGAACCGTGACTACTGTCGTAAAGTCAATGTCATCATGTTTCCAACAAGTGAATGTTCTAAATCATCGTAGCCTGGTACATTGTAGTCAAATCATCAATTGACAGCTTAACAGCTGGACACGAGGTACACACATGTTTAGATATATAGAAACGCATGTCGCGGCGCACATTCAGGCACACGATTTTCACTGGATTATTCAGATGGCTTAGAAAAATCGTTTCGATCTTTTTCGAAAATAATAATCACGTTATTACGTCATGCATTACCTTCAACTAATGATATCATTACGTTAAGTAATCGTTAATTTTTACCTACTAAATTTGGTAAGTATCAAACTGAAAATAAAACGATAAATGACAATTGATTAGACGAAAAAATGTCAAGGCATAGCTTACGCATTTTTTGTGTATATATGCATATGCCTGCTATGCTAGACGTGATTTATGTTTTAAAAAGTTGTCTGCTATGAAAACTACAACTCCACTTGAGCATGTTGTCACAAACAATAGTGACGATTTGTGTTTCGTTATGTTATGATATACTTAATTGTTAAAGTGATGGGAACATTTTTCTTTGTATAAAATTAGATTAAACGATCTTGAAGATGAGGGTCATATTGGTTAAGTTTCGTCAATTCACAAAAGTGTACCCCATTGCCAGGGGTATGGCATCTTATACGGTGATTTGGCCCGTGGCTAGTCTTATACAGCAGAAAATCAGCGGAAAGGAGCAGTTAGATTATATACAAGCTATGAGATTTAGTTTATACGGAGGCTTCTTTGTAGCTCCAACGCTCTATTGTTGGTTGAAATGTGCATCGTACTTTTGGCCCAAACCTGATCTTAAATCAGCAATTACAAAAGTAAGAACATTTTGATCATGTTTGTGCGTATTGATAAACTTAATGAATTACCCTTTCGGGCTAAAATAAAATATTTATCACTTAATACATTATTGAAATAGCTTTTAAATTTGCTAATATTGCTACATCGCTTATACTCGATATAGCTAAACTAATATCAATGCCCTTGTCAATGACTTTTATGATTAATTTATTGTGCATGAATTGTTCTAATTAAAAGTATTAATTTTGTTAATTAACAAAATCATAGGCCCTTGTTGAACAAGTAACTTATGGTCCCAGTGCGATGTGCTGTTTCTTTTTTGGTATTAATCTATTGGAGCTCAAACCTATCTCAGAATGTATAAACGAAGTTAAGGTAAAATTCTGGCCAACTTATAAGGTTAGTAATGATTCTTGCTTCCCCCCCCCCCCCCCCCCCCCCCCCCCCCCCCCCCCCCCTTTTAACATTAATCGAACTTTTTAACCCATTTTATTAAAATGAAAATATGTTTTTTAACAGGTTGGAGTGTGCGTCTGGCCTATCCTTCAGACTATCAACTTTTTCTTTATTCCAGAAAGAAATCGTGTGATTTACGTTAGCATTTGTAGTCTTATGTGGACTTCTTTCTTAGCGTACATGAAGGCCTTAGAATCAAAAAGAACCAAAGACCTTATCAATATCGAAAGTAACATAAATAATTCATTAATAAATAATGTAAAAACGAATAACCAGTCAACTTAAGAGACTGAATTTAAAACTAGGTGCGCCCATGTTTGTTTTGCTGCTATAAAAGAAAATTTTATTATCTTTAAAAGAAACTAATTTAATCAATTTTCATATTAAAATTGATATTATAATTAGAGAGTTGCTATAAACGAGACTAGTTAAGGTAATTCCTTAGCAATTGATATATGTGTCATCATTTTTGTTACCGTTGGTTAAAAAATGATTTATAATTACAAATTTTGTTTGTATTCGAACGGAGCGTATATTTTTAACTCTGCCTGTAAATATATAAATATTATCTTATCGATGTAGTATTTGAAAAAGTAATTGATGCGCCACGCTTGCATTAGATATTTTTACAATTGCAATGTTAATCATTGTATATGCTTAAGAAATGAGAAGATAGATTAACAATACAGGAATTTAAATGCGTTGAAACTCGATTGAGTAAGAAAAAATGTGTTCAATTATGGGAGATAAACAATAAAAGATGTGGTTTGTTTAATGGATGGGATTTCATTTATTTACCCGAATATCTTTAACATAAATCTGCTAGCTTGTTATCGCAAATAAAACATGTGTGCTTAAAATTTAATCGAACGAATATTTGGGAACGAATAGATGGGAGCTGAATTTTTGCTTTTGTCTTTATATTTATTAATTTAATAATAAATTCGAAGGAATTCGCAATTAATTAGTTCATTTAATTTATGATAAAAAAAAAAAGAAGAAAAAAATAATGAAAAACAACGATGATCTTAATTTTATTTTATTCGTTTGCTTCTACGTAAATACAATGATCGAGAACTCGTAGAAAACCTTACGCAAATTGAAATTCTTTACGATAGAATTCCGATTATGATTATTCCTGGTAGAAATAGAATGGGAAAGGTAATAATGGCAATGCCACAAGCACAAGTCACGGTGGTCCGATCGTCATTCGCGTGAGTAATAATTTCGTCATTACATAGGAGAACGGTAAAATGCATGAAAAACATTAAAATCAGATTTGAACAACTAAGCCAAGTTCACAATGTAATCACGTGCCGCGCATATCGCGCATTTTCCAAGTAATAATCGACGAGGTTCAAAGATGGCCATGTTTAGTTGATGATGATCTGTCAAACGTCACACGCTCGACGGTTGTTCACGAGGAATGGAAGCCAAGGAAATATGTGCATGAGACTACAGTGCCTTTATTATCATTGCCATTGAAGAGGACTCGACCATTCGTCGGTTCATGCGGAGAAAAAAGATTACCGAGGCGCGAAAAGGTTACGCGAGGAGCGACAATAAGGTTAATTTTTTTGTTTTCATTCACGACAATGCATTTGTCATTTTTCCCTTAATATATTCGTTCTATTAACGATCGACGAATAATGCGAATGCAGCTCTTCCGCTTAATTTAACAGAATTATTATGGCACGAGCCTCGACCAGCGCACAATGCGACTCCATCGCCACGTATATGGATGGTGTTCAGGTGAAGATAGCAGAGGCTTACAAGTCACCCAATAAAATTGCCCTGCCCACGGCTTATTACAACAAATTGCCTGACCTCTCGAAATTAACGTATGACTTTAGTTTGGAAAAAAGTGTCCTCAATAAGGTAGATTTCTTCTCATTCCTTCATTACATTATTAATTGGCTAAGCGAATCAACTTGTCTCTTACAACTTGCAATATTTTTTAGCTAAGCGTGAAAATTAATAGACAATGATTTGCCAAAAGTTAAATAAGCTCACATGTCATGATTATATCGATTTCAATTACTTAATCCATAAGATTTTCAAATACTTTAGCTGAAAGCCATTTGAACGAGCATCATATGACTATGACGAATGCTGCGTGTCGAAACACATAAAATTGATAAACCTTGAAATATCGAATAAATTATTTATTAATTGAAAGTATCGAAATAACGAATTGAAAGTAAAAAAATATTCAAGTATTTGAACGATAAAGCTTATCTTGTGTATATATCAATGTTACATGCATGGGCGCGCGCATATATGCATACGCTTAAACGGCGATTATACATGTATGCGTGCGCGCGCGCAAGCGCGTGTGTATATGCATAATCAGTATAGTGTTGTAATGCAACTATATATATATATATATATAGTTATATATATATATATATATGATTATGCATATACACACGCGCAACATTAATGTATAAATTTTTCCTATTTACTATATATATTTATATGTCTATATATTATGTATTTAGATGAAAGAATGGAGAAAAGCTCGAGTATCTTACACAGAAGCCCGCAGAGTTAGATTGGAAGAGAAACGTAAAAAAGAAATTGAAAAATCCCCACCTCCATCATCTCCGAGTCCTGAATCAATTGCACTACCTGTCAAAGTAGCTCTTGCTCCCGAAGCAACAATATTAACACCTCAACCACTATGCTCTCCTGCAAATGACACCCAAAATCACGTGAAAGCCAATGGACTTGATTATTCCGATTTTGATAACGATACGAGTAGTCCATTCGATAATATGGAGCTGAAAACTATTAATGAAATGGAAGAATTGGCACAGGTACACACACACACGCACGCGCGCGCGTATATATATATATATATATATATATATATATATATATCTACATTGACATAATTTACTGGAATTATACTTGTTGTTTTACAGGTACTGCAACCAACTACATCACAATGGGCACCTACTACAAATCTTGATGGTATAATGAATGATTTATTAATGAAACCAAGTGTAAATGAAATAAACAAAGAAAGGAAAATCATAGAATATGGAAAAAATAATGAAAATGCTTCAAATAATCATATAGATCTCAAGCAAAGAATGGTATCGTCCATTGTGCAAGAACTTCAAAAAGAGCTGGAGAGGCCGATCGCTGAGGTAATAATTTTTATTAAATAAATTATTTTTCAAATAATTTAATAGTATCATTGAGAGTAATTGATAAAGTAATTTTGACGACATAAGAAATTTAACCATTTGTCTATTGAACGTAAATATGATTTGTAATGCATAATTTGTTAAAATATTTATCATTAAAATTTAATACAAATTAAATTTTAGAATTGTCAGCCGTGGTCTGATTTTGAAAGTCCTATCCTTGACAAAAATCCGGGAATATCAGCGAAAAATTTACGTCCTATTGATCAAAAGGAACTGGCCAGAACATTAGCAAATCTATCCCTTGAAGATCAAAAGTTGGCAAAACGCTTGAGTGATATGGGATTTTCGTTATCAAGAGTTGCACGCGCTATTCATGATTTAGAAGGACAAGACAATAAAAATATTGTAGAATACTTGTTAGCCATTCAATCTCTTGAAGATTTTGGAATGTCGGAAGATGCTGCTGTAAAAGCTTTAGCTTTAACTCAATATGATAAACATAAAGCCAAAGTGTATTATGAAAGTTTGTGTACTCTCAGAGACTTGGGATTTCCCGAAGATAAAGCGTCTATGGCATTATTGAAATGCAATATTGATCGAGATAGTGCTCTTGATTTGCTAATTGCTTAATTCCGTGCTACTGCAATAAACTGTACATAAGTGTTTGTCGAGTCTCAAACTCGATACTAATCAAATATCATTAAAACGTTATTGCATAACCGTTTACTGATTAGTTCCAATTTACAAACTACTTTTATACTTGTAAAATATTTCATGGATGATTTTTTGTATATACATTAAGTATTTAAAATTTTCGTTTTAAATTGAGTCAAAGTCAATCTTGGCACACTTTAAGAATACGACAATAAAGTGTGGAATATAATTGAGTCGCTTAGAAACGTTGCATTTATACATATTGAAACTCTCTTGTAAATAATAAATTTTGATTATTCACAATTAAATCGAACGAAGGTAAAAATTTTTTATTTCAATATATTTAAAAATATACAAGCGTTTTAATTTATTAAATATTTCATTCAATTATATATCCTATATACATATATATCATGATTTTCTATAAAATTTGAAGTCTTAATAAATTCTGTAGCGCATCTAAAAGCAAATTGTTCAAATTAATATTTAATATAAATGCGTCGATTGTGTTAAGTTGAAAAATAAATTATTACCTATGGCAACACAATATCACAATTGTTGGAATGGCAAAAGTATTTTTTCCACTTCCTAAAAGGATCCATGCCTCGGAAAATATTGGTTCATTACAATACTTATTCATACATATGCTAATTGGTCCATTTAATAATAAACCAAACGGTATCAGAGATTTTAGGTATTTATCAATGCCAAAGTTTATTTTATCTAAAATTGGATTTTGTTTTACATATACATTTGGTGGATCCCATGAAATATCAAGAGTATGATGAAATCTATTTAATTTAAACATTAAATTAAGTTAAACTAATTAGATAAAGATAATAATCCATTGATTACCTGGAAAGATAAACTTTTCTAAGCGACAACTCCCATAACGAAATCACTTTATTTTCATATATATCGTGGATAACGAGTAATTGCCTTGGTAATTCTATTACAAATTTCTTATGTTCAGAATTATTTTTGGATAATAACAATAGTTTGGTCTTGATATTGCAATTATTCGTTTTACTATTAGATCTGAAACAATCGTAGAGAAAAGATATTTATATTTTAATTAAATTTTTCATTTTAACAATAACCAACCGCAGCTAATTATAGATATGGAGTCTCACCCATGCGCTATTGCATTCCCAGATTCTTCACTCATAGGATATTGAACTTTACACATTAATTGATATAATACAGGCAACGACAAATAGTTTAAACATGGATTAGAATTAAAACGAATACAGGGGGCTGATAAAAAACCATTTAATGGTAAATAACTCAGTTTATTGGAACACACGGATATAATTGATAAAGAATTAGATAATGTTAATCTGTTTGGAATTTCTTCCAACAGATTATTATCAACAAATAATTCTCCTAATACTGGTAATGCGCCAAGCCATTCTGGTAGTGCGACTATTCGATTTCCAGATAAAAATAAGCGTTCAAGATTTTTCAATTGACTCATAGCTGAAGTGAGAAATAATTAATAATTAACGAATCTAAATAATTTTTAGACTATTTAGACTATTTAGATTAAGACAATTTATTCCAAAGATATGAGTGTTACCTACATTGTGGTAATGATGTTATAAAATTCTGATTTAGCAACAAAGATCGTAGATTCTTCAAATATCCTAAACAAATAGGAAGCTCCTTTAATTGATTGGCACTAAGATCAAGTACAGCCAGATTGTTCATATGTCTCAAAGAATCAGGCAGATGTTCTATATTATTACCATATAAATATAAATTTGTAACATTTGAGAAATCAGAAATCCAAAGAGGAAGACTTTTCAATTTATTCCACTTTAAATAGATTTCTTGCACATGACTGCCAACATTCCTCACTGCATCTGGAATTTCAACTAAATCTCTATAATTCCAATGCAGAATTATTTTTTCTGCTACTTCGTTTATCAAATCATTCAAATCTAAATTCATGTCGTTAAAAAAATTGTCAAATAAGAATTATTCATTAGATGCGAACGAAATGTAATCAACTTTTCTTTTTGAATTTTAACAAGTAACCTTTTGGCATTGGCTTAAAATAGCTTTGACCTACTGAGCAGTTGGCAATATTAATAACTTGAATATACGAATTGAAAAGAACATTTTCTTCATCAATTTCACGAAAGTGCTTTGTTATTGCATTTAAAATTATCATTTTTATGGGTCAATATACGTACTTCATTATATTAAAATTTATTTTCAATTTTACTTCACATCATCCTATTATAAACAAATTTCATTTAATATAGTCAAAGACTGATAGATATAGATAGATAGAACAATAAGCGATAATTTCATATTGCATTTATACATTCGCATTCATAAAAGATTAAAGAGTAATTACTTGAATATAAAAATGTCTGTTTGCTTATAAAACGGAAAAATCCTATATTGGCGGGTCGCTTTAAAATAAATAGAACACAATTTTTTTGCGCAAACTTATAACTAGTTTAACTAATTAATTATAATTTTTTAATTGCTTAAGGCTCACGATTACTTCAAATAAATGCAGCGTTAAGTTATTTTGTGTTTTTCCTTATCCTCTACGTGATTGTTACATACTTTTTTATTTAATTTCTAAAGGAAAAATAAGAAGAATTACCGAATAATTTTCAATGATAAACATAAAAGTTAAAAATGATTAACTTCAATATTATTTATAATAATTTCTTACCTTTCTGACATTAAATTGAAAAAACATTCCAAAATAAATCACATCTCTAGGACGAATAATAACTTGCATAATCAATCATTAAATGACATTAAAGTACATCATTGGTAATGGTAATTCGGTAATAATACAATATATTTATCTCTAAAAAACTTTTGCCACCGTATAATCTAGTTTATACGTAACTATCACGTTGTGTACAGATGTGACAAAAAGTTAAGGTACTTTTAATTTTATATTATAAAGTCTTATATCACTAATATCACGTCTATGTATAAATTAAATAACTACTTGATTTATTATCGTGAACCAACCGAACTTTCAAGTTATGCACAACATACGCACTAACAAGAATGCTTATAATAAATATTTTAATAAATTATTTCAATTATTATAATTAATTCTCGTTTTCAGTTTTTTTATTGTATTTTTAATTAGAATTTATTTATATTAGAACTTATATTAATGCTTTGCTTGCATAAATTACGCCCGCTTTAATTCAAACTCATTGTAATATTTAAATTTTACTTCTAAAATCTCTTGTGGATAATGTAATTAATAATATTACATAATTTCTTAATTAACAATAATAATGCAAAATTGAAAAAATTTACATCTTTAAACATTTAAAAGTACGTTGAGACACCTTATTTATTATTTATCGTATAAAAATAGTTAATATGTGAAGGACAGCTTAAGTTTCGAGTCCATAAATAGCTCGAGAATTTTATTATACAAATATAATTTAAAATAATTTCAAATACTAACGAACCTCTAATTGCAATTGTTTCAATAAATACTAACCATTTTTTATTTTATACACTGATTTGTATAATTGACAATTTAACATTGGATTCTTACTTTATTCCACGTCCATTTACAATTTCAAATCAATTTATTACCCAAAAATTTATTATATCGTAAAAATGAATTTAATAAATTCAATTTTTATAATTATACAAAAATAATGAATTTTTTTATTCTGAAAACGAAAAATTGTTGTTTTTCAGTAACACAGGCAAATTTTATTAAACAAATAAACTTGTATTGTACGTTTCATAAATATTCTCAATTATAATTATTGTTTTTAAATAATTAAATTAGAACTATATCAAGCAACTTTTAAAGAAAATTTATGATTTTACTATTTGGGATGATCCTATTTAATGTTAATTAAATATTGCATTATCTATTTTTCAATCTAAATTCTATCGAAATATTAACATAAGTTACCTCTTATAAATAATTTTAACTTTAAAAATTGCATTATTTATTATAGATTCAATCTTTAATAAAGGATCCATAAATGCTAGATTGATTAATGTTACAGGTACTGCAATGAAAAGAATTGTCAAATTTTACATAAATTCAGTTTATTGTAAGAATTTACTTAAGTGGTATGAAACGTGAGGAATGCGTAGCACCAATACCAGGTCTACCGTGTTTAACAGGCTTATAAGTAACAGAGAATTCTCCTAAATAATGTCCAATCATTTCGGGCTTAATTTCAACTTGGTTAAAAGTTTTGCCATTATAAACGCCAACAATGGAACCAACCATTTCAGGAACAATTATCATGTTTCTCAAATGTGTTTTAACAATTTCCGGCTTCTCGTTTGGTGGAGCTTCTTTCTTTGCTTTGCGTAATTTTTTAACCAGAGCCATAGGTTTGCGCTTCAGACCACGAGAAAATCGTCTACGAGCTCTTGCATGCATCAACTCCATGAGCTGTTCACTGAAAAATAGTTTATGTAATAAAAATTTTTTTACGCTTTAAATAGAATAATATTAATAATTGAATGATAAACAACACTTTTCTGCAAATTCATGTTTTTTTTAAATTTATTTTACAATTATATTTATACTAACAAGAAGGTAAATATATTTTTTTGAAAATATTAATTTTATATCTATCTAAAATTAATTAATATATCAATTAAATTCATTATATATAATAGTTGAGGTAATATATATATTTCTGCTTAAGTTACAAGGTTAATTTGAGATAACCAATACTTTGAATCTTTTAACATACTTCTCGTATAAAATTATAAAAATTTATAAAACCAGTATGAAACAACCAAAACCAACAGAACCAAGTCTATCACAATATTGATTTTATTAATATCTTTGAATTTATTACTACATATTTATAATTTCTTAAATACTTTCTTTTATTAGTCATTTCAAACTTGATAAAATAATAAAATACATTTGATAAGTTATTTCTATTTAATCCGAATACTCTATATAACGCACTAAATGATACATTATTTAATTTTCATTCTTGTCACTTTAAACAAAGCATATCTCGCATATACGAAATTTTTGCTTTTTACTCAAACGCATGACTTTGCAAAATACAATTATAATCATAAAGAATCTTTTAATTAATACAATTAAAATTAATGTTTAATAGAATTGTATTCAATCTATGATAATATTGCATAAATTTTGCATCCAAAGTTTTTGGAAATTTCACTATACCCAATTTTATCTAACTCTTTAATATGTGAATATCTTGGATAACCACTTAAAATCTTTTTACAATGTTTTAATTGTATAATTTCATTATATATTATAAAGTCTAATAAATCTTAACAAAAACATTTAGAATTCAAAGTTTTACTGGGCCTCTTCCATTTTCGAAAAATTCTGTTTAGAAATTTTTTTGCAATCTACGAACTGAATATTAATTCCTGTTGATGGGGAGACATACAACTTACTTGGGCATATCAAGCAGTTGATCAAGATCAACGCCTCGGAAGGTAAACTTCCGGAAAGTCCTTTTTTTCTTCAATGTTTCGTCTGCCTATAAAATAAAAATAACAAATGTTAAAAGTACAATAAATTAACCTATAACTTCTCAGATATTTGCTTCAAATGTATTTTGAACTTAAGCTTTCATAATATTTATTAACAAACGATTAATTAAATTAATTTTCAATTATATTTTAAGTATTTTCATAACAAAAACATTATGATTGCTTAGATTATTATAGATCCGTGTAAAATAATTTTTTCACCGTACCTCAGCCATGTTTCACTGTACCAAAGAGGATTATTAGAGCATAAAAAGAAATAATGATCGAGACTGCCGACAGTGAAGTTAGATAGATCCACATATTATTCTCTCTTTATTGGACTCACTTTATTGGTCAATTTATTAATGTGCGAAATATAAGTAGACGTTGAGAGGCAATAATTTTGTTAAAAAAAAAAAAACAACAACAACAATAATTCATTTTGATGAAGCTTCGGTTAAGGTCTAAAATATTAGGATGAAAAATATATTATCCGTAAACGTATATCGAATAACGAATGTTGGCATAATATCAAAAGAATAAAAGATTTTAATTTTAAATGAGTGGTTAACTGACGGGGTAGACTCGATGCAATTTTAAAATTAAAATTTTAAAATATTTCACTCTTCAACTTCTTTGTATTGATACAAATTCCTTCTCAATTTGTCTCTTATGCTATATGGAGTAGTGCCAGAAGTAGTATTATAGAATATTTTACATTTTTTTAATTATTACCTCGGCATAAATCGTTCTTAAATATTTATCATAATTTTTTTTTATATCTCGACGTATCATGTTATATAGTAATTAGAAATGTTGAAAAACCATTTCTGTTTCAATGGATTCCCGTACGTTCGTATATTCGCGGGCTTTCGAGCGGACCAATAAGATTATACGGGCTCTATACGCATGCCTCATCGACGTTAAAATCCATGTGTGCCGTTGGCCTAATGTTTCGGTGGTGATGAGCTGCGCAGTGCTTACACTAAAATTATAAAAACTCGTGAATGAGTGTGGAGTGGGGCGAGGACTCGGGGTCACGATGATAAAGGATTGTTTTTCTTCTTTAGTTTCCTCGGGCACTCAGCGTTTAACTTTTTTTCCAAACTTCGAAGCATAGAGGGATTTCAATTCAAGGTGTCGATATCTTATAATACGTATATAATATTTTCTATCGCATAGCAATGTACGATGAAATATTAATAGATTTATTATTATTCTTAATGTTTGAAATCATTGATTAATAGTCCATAGCAACTCATTTAATTTTTTTTTCCAGTTATTTCGATTAATGTATTGAGATATAAGACATATCTGACGTATTACATTTGTCATGTTTTTGTTTTGATGTTCCGTTAAACATCCAGCGTTGACTTCGGGAATTTTATGACATTGTGGTTAAATTTGTTACATTCAATTAATTATTTTATATAATGCTGATATTTGTAAATTATTCAACATTATTAACATACGCAAAGTATATGCGCAACATCTTCATACATTAGCTATATATTATGGACACTTATATAGTTATACGCATCAGCTTAATTCATCCGATACACACCTTAAAATACTTGAAATTTCTGTAATCAATTGTGTCAGATTGCGAATTTTTAATATTAAAAAATTACTCAAGAATTGTACAAGTTACTTGTGACTTCTGATAAAATTAATTCTAACAAAATTAAGGATCTATGACATTTTTGAAAGTCGCTCAAAATATTTATTGAAATATCTTTCATTCTATCCTGTACATTTACGTGCTACAATCTTCCTATACGAAATTTAGAGAGTAAAAGTAGACAGGAATTTCTTCGTCTATGCACTTAGTAGTTAAAATGTTTGTCTGTTAATGCAAATAATCCCCTAATAATTACGCTACTCGCCATTTATTAATTTTGGACTCCACTTTCCAAACAACTAGTTATCATTATGAATTTATTATTGTTCATGAATAAATGTAACTCAATAATTTAAAGACACTGTTGTTGAAAGATGCTGAATTCTCTCGGGAAATAATAATAATATACGAAATTTATTTTATCATTGTGCTAATGTAGCTTAATACTTTAAGTAATTTTACTCAATTTTGCTAATGACGATTGTAATATATTTATTAATTATTTTTAGCCTATTGATGTTGATTAAATTAAGTTGCAGTTAGAAATTAAGGTAAGAATTATTATTTATCATGCTTCCTACTAGATATTAGAGCATTCTAATATACGAAATAATCCTTACATTATTTTAGAACTTTTTGATTAGTGAAAAAAAATTCCAATATCAGATGAGCTTAAATATAAAATTTGATGCCGATTGAATTAAATCGGTATGTTAGAAGATATTCCTAATGAAGTTTCGTTTCTTCATGCATAAGACATGAATAGATTATACTATTTATAAATAAATATGTTTATCATCAAAATTAAACTAATATTTTTTTTTTTTTTTTTTTTTTTTTTTTTTTTTTTTTTTTTTTTTTTTAATTTAATTTACAAATGTTTCGACGAGATTTTATATTTTATAAAATCTAAGGAGTATATTAAAAAAAAAAAGAAAAAAAAGAAAAAAAAGACTACTTAATGTCATATGTTAAGACATTCTTTTCAAGGTAAATTTTGCTGTACCCGTGTATATCATAGCACATTTAATACTTAATACAAAAGTTTGATTTTCACATATTAACAATACTGATATAACAATCATAGATTTACAATTTACGTATAACAGGAATACAACGTATACACGCATATGTCGATAGACCTTGTAATTACAGTGTTTTTCATTCTATTAATATCCTCATCCTAAATGCACAAAAATTATTTAAATTTGAATAGAATCAAATGAAAAGGTAAATCCTAGGAAATTCTTTAATGATAAATTGAAAAAAAGTTATAGTACAAATTTCGTCCATTTCAAAAGCACTTTTTTTAACATATTATAATATTATATTTTTTTTTATTTTTAACAGACCATTTTAACGGCTTCTCATAGCCAGCCATTGCAATTAAAAAGGATAATTTTATAATAAGAAAATTTATCGACCCCGAATACTCTAAATTTTTTCAACCCGAGTTTGAGCTTTTATAGTTTTGCTTTTATAGTTCGTAATTTGCAATGCTAAATTATTACAAAAGCGATCAAAAGTAATCAAATCAATTAAAAAATATTTACTAAGCTGTGTGAATAATTCAATAGTAATAATTAAATTTCTTAGACCTATTAAATTAATTTATTTAGTGAATATGAATCATTTTAACAATTTATGCACTTTTAAATATACAGGTGATCCTAAAATTATAATTTATAACTAATAATTTATATTATTATATTTCATTTTATTCAACAAATATTATTAATTGATGTTTTCATCGGGTTTGTTCATAAGACGATTTCTAATGATTTTATATTCTATTATGATTATGAAACATTACATTGATTTATAAAAAAAATATATTGTTTTTTTTTTCTTTTATAATTGATTTATACAAAATATACATTAGTTTTGCTTATATCATTGTTATTAAATCTTTTCTATTTATGCCTAAGCTCTCTTAGTTTATTTTTAGTATTTATGCCAAAATCCATATTTTATGATGTGAGTGTTTAAAACACTTTAAACAATCGATATACTTTCTAAGCACTTATGATTTAGTTTTTAAATTATTTACTTTATAATTCTTTTAATATATAAAAATGATTAGAAATTAATTAATTAATTTATTTATTTATTTATTTATTATTATTATTATTATTATTATTATTATTATTATTATTATTATTATTATATTATTTGACCGTGGATTAAAGAATAAATTTCAAGCTGTACATTTTGATTAATGAAATAATAAATTTATGCGTGTTCTTTATTAATTTTTAATACATTTTTATATGTGTTTTATAATGTAATTTTAATCAATGCAAATTTTTACTTTCATTACAATTGTAAGTTTAGTGTTCTTTAATACTTCATACTACATACGCACGAATTCTTTCACATTTTATTAAACGACTAAGAAGCAATTAATCACTGACTGTGAATTAAAAAAAATCATTATTATCAGCTGTATCGTATATTATATATGAATAACAACAATGACAGTACAACATGTATTAAACATGTAGAGCTGGAATTTTCGAAAAAATTTTGTTTTAAAAAGAAAATTTTACAATAAGTTTACATAGTTTTTTATAAATTATATACATTATTTATAGAAGTCTTAAGGGAAGAATATTTGAGCAAATTATACCAAATATTTTTAATCATCGTAAAACCAATCCCCAGTGACATACAGGAAGTATATACTACATGTTTACAAAGATATTAATGTAAATAAATATTCATTGCGTGATATATGCGCAGCACATTTGCTAATTACAATAAACTTATATGTAATTACAGTATATTATCTTATACGTTTTCTTCTTACCTTATACGTTTAATGTTTTGTCTTGGAAAATCTTTTCCTTTCTATATTTGTCCGCATACACCACTTCTATTTGAATGTCGCTTTTATCGATTATACAAATTTTACTTCTTATCTAAACTAAATATATATGTTACATTCAATATTTATTCCCTCCAGTTTTTATTATTTCATGAATACTGTATATAACATCATTTGTTCATTACATGGGTTGCTAAGTAATTTAATTTCATCCTAATGAAAACAATGATTATATTAATTTATTTGCAACTTCATTTTAATAGAGTAAAAATGATTAGTAAAATATATTAATGACTAATGATTATATATAATCCATTTTTTATTTGCGAAAATTTATAAAAAATTATGCTTAAAGGAAGATAATTATATTTAAGATTTTTCAATCATCCGATAATTTATTTTAATATATTATTGCATGGACAACTCGGTATTATGAAAATAAAAATGAATAAACTACTTATATATTTACACAAAATTCAATCTATAGATTAAAAAAAATTATAGATAAAGTTAAATTATCTAATTTCTAAATAACGAATACCTGGGAGAGTAAAAGAAAATTCTTTTACCGTGTAAATATTTCAAGCGGTAAATATAAATGAGAAAAAATTTTATTCATTACAAAATATTATTAAGCAATCAATAAAAATACTGTAAGTTAATTAATTACGAATAGTTTGATTATTAAAGATATTAACAAATCATTTTTGTTTTTAGTATAAACTGTACACTTTTGATAGATAAAAATAACAATTTTCAAATTCTTAGGAGCATCAAGTTACTAGATATTTTTATTCTTAGTTAAAGATGAGCTGCGGCAATCCTTGCTCTGTATAATAGATTCTTTAATTTAAAATTAATGTATTTGCAAAATGACTG